AATAAAGATTAGAGCAGAAATAAATGCGATAGTAAACAGAAGATCTATAGAAACAGTCAACAGGACAAGAAGCTGGTTCTTTGAAAGGATTAACAAAATTGACAGCCCATTGGCAAATCTAACAAAAGAAAAGAGGGAGAAGACACAAATAACACACATTAGAAACCACATGGGCGATGTCAAAACAGAACCATAGGATATTGAAAGGATAATAACAGAATACCATGAAGAGTTTTACTCCAACAAATTCAAAAACAAGACCTTCACCTCACACCTTATACAAAAACCAACTCAACATGGATTAAAGATCTAAATGTGATTCCCAGAATTATGAAAGCCATCAATGAAAAAATAGGGACAAATGTGAGGTCACTAATTCAGGGAATACACAGACTACCAAACATTTTAAAAACTACACAAACAAAAGTACACAAAATAGATGAGTACATCAAAAGACTTCACCAAAAGAGTAAAAAGGGAACCCACAGAATGGGAAAAATCTTTTGCTATAACACATCAGACAAGGGAATCATTTCTAAAGCATATAGGAGACTACACCACCAGTACAAGAAAAAGAAATAACTCAATTAAAAAATGGACACAGGACATGAACAGACACTTCACCAAGGAGGAGATCCAGGCAGCCAACAAACATATGAAAAAATGTTCACTATCACTAGCCATTGTTGTTGTTGTTGTTAAGTGCCGTTGAGTCAGTTCCGACTCATAGCGCCCCTGTACAGGGTTTCTGAGGCTGTAAATCTTTATGAGGCAGAAAGCCTCATCTTTCTCCCACGGAACAGCTGGTAGTTTCGAACTGCTAACCTTGCAGTTCGCAGTCTGATTCGTAACCACTACGCTGCCAGAGCTCCATTAGAGAGATGCAAATCAAAACAACAATGAGATATCATCTCACACCAGCAATAACAGCAAAGATCAAAAAAGTAGAGGACAATAAATGCTGGCGGGGATGTGGAAAAACTGGGACACTTCTGCATTGCTGGTGGGATTGCAAAATGGTCCACCCTCTCAGGAAAGTAATATGGTGCTTCCTCAGAAGGTTGGAAATAGAAATACGTTTTGATTCAGCAATTCCTCTACTTGGTATTTACCCACAGGAAATACGATCCGTAACATGAGTAGATACATGCACACCAATGTTCATAGCAGTACTATTTACAACAGCAAAAAGATGGAGACAAAGTTCCCGTCAACTGAAGAATGGATAAACAAACTGTGGTACATACACACAGTGGAATATTCTACCTTGAATAACAAGGAAGCTGCAAGCCACCACATAACATGGATGAACCTGGAGGACATTATATTAAGTGAAATTAGTCAGTCACAAAAGGAGAAATACTGCATAGGACCACTACTGTAAAAGACTAAGAAAAAGAACCCAAAGAGGGGGCTGGGTGGGATTCTTTGCTGGTTACTGGGACGTGGGGGGTGGGATGAGGGGAGGGAGGGGAAGGTGGAGCACCGGGTAGGGAGTAGACATAGGATAGTTTGGGTGCTAGGGAGGGGGGCTATACACAAGAAAGGGGAGGGGAACGGAAGAACAAAGTGGATGGGGAAACAATTAGGCAGGTTTGCATGGGCTAAGCGGGACAGAGGTAAATAATGATGTATGCACAACCTTGGAACAATAGGGCTCTGTGATACAGGGATTGAGACGTGGTTGGAATCTGGAAAAGGGGGAAAATAATGTTAAGATGCTCGGTTGTCTTTTGAATCTTGGTGTCCCTGGCATACCATTATAAAATAGAGACTTAAGGGGGAGAGAACAGAATAGCCAGAAATATCACCATGGAAAGCTTGTAATTTCGTCTTCTGCCTATAACTGATTGGAATACCTAAAATGGAGCTACAATGTGCCCAGTGAAGGAGGCTTCCTATGGAGCCTCTGCATTATATAAGATCATAGGTGGAATCCTATGCCTCCAGAATCTTCTGAGGTGGGAAATTTCCACTTGAAATGACAAGCAGACCAGCCTGGAGTGGCTAGAAGAACAGAAGATACTTCTTGAAAGAAAGACCAACAGGAAAAATACAAAACAATATAGGCAGTCTGACTGACTACTACAATAACAAGCAAGTTGCTCACCCAGGAGAAATAAAGGAAAGTGGTCAGGTCCCCTCAGGGTAAACCCCCTTCCAAGACTGAGACTCAGTGGGAATACACGCTCTGATTGGTGACCATGTTCATCACTGAAAAGGGGAAGTGAGGAACAAACAGCAATGAAGCTGCAACCTTAGCCCTACCACGTTCAATAGACTCTTGTGAACCCTGGTGAAGACCAGGTTGGCCAGCAGTGTGGCAAGACCTGGGGACTCTTGGGCCCATAGTCAGTGACATAGCCACAGATGACTAGAGTGGAGAGTGAAGCATCCAGCTGATAAGAAGAGAGGGCATATGCACAAGAACACCCACACGTGCAGATAATACTCACTCGATCTGGCTTCAGTGAATGGATGATCAGAGCTCAACTAGAAGAAGAAAGAATAGGAGAAAAAGAGTAATCTGATATAATTTGATGAAATTGACCTATACCTATGGATACAGTAGCTCAAAAGAGGAAACAAATCTTTACAGCAAGTATCATTCCTACCCCCTCCATACATAGAATTGGCAGTGATGGGCAACTTGGACATTGGCTACCCAAAATGGGGGTGGGGGCCTACAAAGGCAAGAAGTGACTGGCTTACAAGCTTTCCAGGGGGAGCCTACATCCAGAGGCTGTGGAGAAAGGTAGAAACTCCACTAAGTAGTAGCCAGTCTGTCTGGGTCAGGGCTGATGAAAGGAAATGTAGATAGGTCTCTTGTGATACAATAGTGAATAATTGTTATCAGGACTGATTGTGAGGGTTGGAAATGTAAAAGTTGATGTTTTGCAGCAATGGAGGGGAGTGATTGACTTTGCAGCCTAGGAGCGGAGGTCACTGGAACCATCAAGGGAGAAGAGCAGAGAGTGGAACTCTACCCAGAGAAGCAGTGATGCCAGAGATGGAGGCAGAGAAGATGACGTAGAGTGATGGAGGGGCTGGGGATTTTAGACTCAGAGAGGGAGAGGGGCTGTGTGCTCACTACTGGGGGGGGGGGGGGGGGGGGAGAGAGACCACACTTGCAGGGTATACTCTTTGGTTGGTTGATGATGCATGGAGGGGATTGTAACCATGGCAATGAAATGATATATGATTGGATGAATGTAAAGCTAATGTTCTCCCATGTAAACTATCACATAATTCACAATAAAATAAAACGACTTGGAGAAAGAATATTTAGGAATCTGAGAAACACAGTTCAGCTGTGACAAGTATGGGGTTGCCATGAATTGGACTCAATTAAATGACATCCTTTAAAAACAAAACAAAACAACTTTATGGAATGTTGTATAGGCTAAGCTCTGTAACAGGCAAATACCCCTAATAGATATTTGTGTGACTTAATATTCCTGGGTGGAAATGACTATAATAAGCTACATGTTATTTTCATTTGATATTAGCATAAATACAACCCTGAACAACTTTGAAGTATAAGGTTGGCATTTCAAACCCACCAGCTGCTCCTTGGAAACTTTATTACAGGGTCACTATAGTCAGAACCGACTTGATGGCACTTAGTAAAACATTTTAATTGAAAAAATTAATCTAATTTTTGTGTGCCACAAATTTGAGCAATGCTTATAAAATGAGTCATTCGAGAGTATTTTGGAATCAGATTATGTTAGTTTTAAATCCTATCTTCTTCACATGTCTCCACTGGACAAAGTGTTTTAACATATCCATGGTTTGAGTTCCTCATCCGTAAAATGGTGCTACAATTTGCTACCTTAAGGATTTTCCGGCGAACAAAGTAAGAGAACATATGAAAATCACTTAACACAGCATCTGCCCTAGAGATGTACTTGGGGTTCTGCTTTACAGAAGCCACCAAACTGTATCAGCATTAAGGCAAGTTAAACTGAAAAGAATATGTTGGAAATATTTGTTAGTTCATTGTGAAAGTAACTCTGTTGACAGTTTGGATTTGAACATTATCCCAAGTGAAAGATTTATTGTGAATTTTCCCATAGTTCGGCTTTGCAGCTTTATCTACCATGTACCATAACATGAAGTGGTATAAATTTATGAATGCTGTTTACTGGAAATAATGAAATCTTGCAATCATTAAGTTTAATGTTTGTGAAAAAAGTAACTTGTGTTATCAATATTTCAGTAAAATGTTTAGATTTTTTTAATGACATAACTCCATTGTGGTAAATCTGTATGGCCTCCAGTAAGTCTAGTATCTCCTAACTACTAATTATGGAGGGTCTTGCTGAACCTATACACAGAAAACCTATAAAACAGTAAACATAAATCTGAATACTAGTATTCAGTTATTATTAGTACTGGGTGATTTATTGTCAATATCTAACAGAACCAACCTTTTGGAGCTTTTGATTCAGAAATTATTGGGAAATGTGATATTTATAAAAAGATGTTTTAATTTATATATAGCTGGTGGCTTTTAACAACAACAAGAAGTGGCTTTTAATTATCTATTGCTTTTCTCTTGATGCTTCCCTGTTATTTTTTTTCTTAATTGACGTCTGTGCTCTCTCTCTCTCTCTCTATCCCATAGCAGTCTTTTCCCTATTAAAGGACCCATCTGTCTAAGGTAGAGATTCTCCCTTTCTATATACATACCAATGACTAAGCTGGCAGGACTAGGCATAATTATCATTTAGTAATCTCATCTAACTCTGACTTTTCAGTACAGTGGTGTTTTGTTGTTTTCCTTCAACTATTTTCAGTCTGAATTCAAGCATTCAGAAGTATGTCTAATTTCTAATATAGTCATAGAGCAAAGGATGCATCTTAAAGCTTGCTAATCTATAGTAAATAAAATACATGAAAAACTGATGTTCATTGTAATATGTGTGACTTCGTATACAGAGAATGAGATAGAAACTCTTCAAGAAAAGTGACTCATTTTCATTTGATTTTACTAGACTTGAATTTGAGAGGCAACAACGTGAAGAACTTGAAAAATTAGAAAGTAAAAGGTAAGCCATGTGAGGTATAAATTTTAGTTTATAGAATCGTGTCCATGTTCTGAACTGATTCCATCTATTTTAATACCTCCCTCTTGCTTTGTGCCAGTTACATGTCTAATGGCTTTTAGTTGTTTTGTACCCAGTTGTTTCTACTTAATGTTTGAATTTTTAAAAAAGACGTTACCTTCGGATTCTTATGAGAAAAGGGGAATAGAATCAATAGGCAAATTTAATATACCAATTAAATTAAGTAAAATGTAACTGTAAGGTGTTGCTTCTCTTAATAATATCCTCTGGATCTTTTAAAAAATGAAAAGTATGACACTTCCTTTTTCCCATCTCTCTCTTTTTTAAACATTTTTCCTTTTATTTGTGGCCATCTGTACTACCCTTCCTTGGTGGTTCAGTGGTTCAGCCACTTATCTGCTCACCAAAAGGCTGGCAGTTAAAACCCAGCAGCTACTCCACAGTAAAAAGATATGATAGTTTGCTTCTGTAAAGATTCACAGCCTACATGTAGAGTTGAGTGCATTTTTTGACTTGTACTCCCAGTCTCATCCTCCTTTTGCTCCTCCCCATTAGCCTCCGAAGGTGCCTATCTATCAGGTTGCTGTTGTCAATTTGATCCATCTAGACAGTTCTTAAAAGAGTATAATGTTCAAGGTAGACTTTATTTTGCTAAACTACTGTTCTGTTTTAAGATGACTTCAGGGGAGATTTTTGGTTTAAGGTTTAAAGATTATCTCAGGGCAGTGGATTTAAGGGGAGCATAAGCATTTTAATTTAATGTTATCTTGTAAAAGAACTTTTACCTGAGTTTTACTGATTGGGTTGAATAGAATTATTCACATTTAAATTCAAATTGGGCATGGTTCTTTCTCTTTGAACTCAGGGGGGCTTTTGAAAAATTCTTTATGTATAACACATGATTTTAGACTCTAGAAAGAAATAATATCAGAGGCTACTTCAGGAGACTAGAGCAATGAAATGTTAGACAGCTAAAAAGTAAAAAATAAAAAATCAAGCTGCTGGAAATTAAAAGGAAAACAATTTATCCTCTTTTTTATTTTAATGAAGGGTTTGGCTTTATAGTTGCATCTTCTTTTTCAGGACATTTCAGTTAAGGGAAAGTTAGAATAACAATTAAACATAGTGATCAAATAATGATCAGTTGTTTTGTGTTGTAGGAAACTCATAGAAGAAATGGAGGAAAAGCAGAAATCAGACAAGGCTGAACTGGAGCGGATGCAGCAGGAGGTGGAGACTCAGCGCAAGGAGACAGAAATTGTACAGCTTCAGATCCGCAAGCAGGAGGAGAGCCTCAAACGACGCAGTTTCCATATTGAGAGCAAACTGAAGGATTTGCTTGCTGAGAAGGAAAAATTTGAAGAGGAGAGGCTGAGGGAGCAGCAGGAGAACGAATTGCAGAAGAAGAGACAAGAAGAAGAGACCTTTTTGTATGCCAAAGAAGAACTCCATTGGCTCCAAGAACTCAACAATAACGAGAAGGCTGAGAAGATTCAGATATTTCAAGAACTAGACTGGCTCAAAAAGGAAAAAGAAGAACAGTGTGCCAAGCTTAAACGGGAAAAGCAGAGGTTGGAGGAGCAAGAACAGGAGCAGTTCATGCTTGTGGCACATCTGGAAGAGCAGATCCGAGAGAAGCAGGAGATGATCCAACTCCTACAGCGAGGGGAGGTCCAGCGTGTGGAAGAGGAGAAGAAAGACCTAGAGGACATCCGAGAGGCCCTCCTCCGGGCCAAGGAAGCACGGGTTGAAGGGGATGATGATGGTGAGGAGCTAGAAAAGGCTCAACTGCATTTCTTAGAGTTCAAGAGAAGGCAACTGGTCAAGCTAGCCAACTTGGAGAAGGACCTGGCTCATCAGAAAGACCTCCTGAAGAAAGAAGTTGAAGAAGAACAAGAGATCCTAGAGCATTTAAAATGTGAAAATAAAGATGAATTTAGGTTGGCAAAAAATGATGGTAGTGTCAAATATACTAGCCAGGCTGCTCAAGATTTAGACAAAATAAAGCCAGTGGAGTACCGTCTGCAGTATAAAGAACGTCAACTACAGTATCTCCTGCAGAATCATCTGCCAACCTTGTTGGAAGAAAAACAGAGGGCATTTGAAATCCTTGACAGAGGCCCACTTGGCTTAGACAACACTCTTTATCAAGTAGAAAAAGAGATGGAAGAAAAAGAAGAACAACTTATGCAGTACCACGCTAATGCCAGCCAGCTGCAAAAGCTGCAAGCCACCTTTGAATTCACTGCCAACATTGCACGTCAAGAAGAGAAAGTGAGGAAGAAAGAAAAGGAGATTCTTGAATCCCGAGAGAAACAACAGAGAGAGGCACTAGAGCAGGCTGTTGCCAAGCTGGAGAAGAGACACTCCGCCTTGCAGAGGCGCTCCACCCTGGGCCTGGAAAATGAAGATCAGAGGCAGAAACTCACAACTCGAAACAGCAGCAGCAGCAGCACACAGTCAGGGCTCCGGGCCAGCCTGGAGCCTGAGCAGGAAGTCTTGGAGAAGGACCAGGAGAGGTGAGAGGTGGCATGTGGTAGGTCCAAATGGTTGTTTGTTTCCAACTCGTTATGGTCTCTCTTTGAGTCTTTTTAACCTTCGTGTTCTCTTAACACATAGACAAATGCTTATTTTTACCAAAACTCTAGACACTCTTTTATTTCTCCTTAGTATCCTTGTTTTAGACTCATTGGCCTAAAGTTGAAAAGAAAAAAAAAAAAATCACCCAAGTGCATTGCCCCTGTCGATACTCTGTTGACCTACAGAAGGTGTATGTTGTAATATTTTGAAAAAGATGGAAGGTTGAGAAAGCATCAAGCTTTGATCCCTCTCTTCCTTTTGCCTTCTTTCCCTGTCTTTCCTACCTCTTCAACTTCCTTCACTCCCTTTCCCTTTCCTCCTCCTTTTAAATTGTCTCTCCTCTCTTCCCTTTCTTTTCTGTTTCCCTTACTTAGTTTCTTCCTTCCCTTTCTTCTTCCTCTGTTTTCTCTCTTCCTTCCTTTTCTCCCTTTTTCCTTTCTCTGCCCCCTTATCTGGTTCCCTCCCCTCTTGCCTTTCCTCCCTCTCCAGTGGCTTCACGGCTTCTCTCTGACTAGCATTTGTGACAATAAAGTTCATGCCTGAGTTCACAGGTTGCAGATAGTATACTGATTTAAGAACTTGATTGTTATTATTGTCGTTAACTGCCTACAAGTCAGTTCTTACTATAGTGACCCTGAATAGGGTTCCCACGGAGCGGCTGGTGGGTTTGAACCACCAACCTTGAATTTAGTAGGTCAGTGCTGATCCTACATCACCACACCAGGGGTCAGAATGAAGCAAACATTCAGAGCCCTTTAAAGAATATAGTTCCAAAAAATCAAACCCACTGCCATCAAGTAGGTTCCAGCTCATAGTGACCCTGTATAGGCTTTCTAAGGTTATACATTTTTATGAGTGCAGAAAGCCTCATCTGTTTCCAACAGACTAGCTGTGGGTTTGAACTGCCAAACTTGTGGATAGCAGCCCAATGCCTAACCCATAGCATCTCCAGGTCTCCTTTAGTAGTAATATTAGTAATGATTCCAATTATGAAGAATAATTGTGAACCCTGACTATGTGTTTAATGCTATGTCCATTATCATTTGTTCTTCAAATGAGGGGAATGCTAGTGTCCCCAGCTTGTAGTTAGGCAAATTGAAGTCTTACACTGTAACCATTGAAGACCATATCACACAGAAAGTGGATAGTAACAACTTGAATCAAGGTTTACTGACATCCAACTCTTAACTACTTTGCCCTCTTGACCTACTGGCCACATAGCTGCCAGGCAGTTCTTCACAGTGCTATTATCCTTTCCTGAGTTGCCCACTTTGTCCTTTGCCACCTATATAAAGCTTGTTCAGCCTTCAGGCACCACTGAAATCCCATTTGTTCTGTGAAGTCTTTTCACCTGCCCCATCCTGAAGGACTTGACTTCCTGAGAAACCCCTGCATTGTCTTATTTATACATATGCTGCTGCCTACTCACATGGGACTCATTTCCTCTGCCATCTTTGAGAACTTGTTACTGTTGTTCCCTGGTTCTTTGTCCTTTGCCTACCACCTTACATCCCATATATTTTTATATCTGTATGTTTGTATGTGTATATATTTTGAACTTAAGAG